CCTTCCTTCCTTCCTTCCTTCCTTCCATCCATCTGCCTGCCTGCCTGCCTGCCTTCCATCTTCCTCCCTCCCTCCCTCCCTCCCTTCCTTCCTTCCCTTTCTTGTACAGATATTTCATGAACTATCCCCAGAATACTTCTCTTGTATTAGTCACCCTAACAGATTTAAGTAACAACATGTCAAAACCTTTGAATTCTAGTAAGAAGCGGACCCGATCCACAACCTCCAGTCACAGGTATCTGGAACAAGCCATGATAAATATCACATGCATCATAATATCATTGTGCAAATCATATGAAGTATGCAATCTGACATGAATTATACAATTTGTAGCATCTGTGTGGTGGTGTCCTAACACATGATGTCACTTGTCTACTCATGGATGCTCCCCATGCAACTGGAAAACACCAAGCTGCGGAAGATGACGTTCAATATTTGGGAGACTTACTTATCTTCTGGTACTATCTCTATCCTCTTGCTCTTTCCCCCTTTTCCCTGCCCAATTAGGACGTGCCTACGAAACTAGTGGCGAAAGCGGTTCCCCTGCCGATGACTGTCCGTGGCCACTGGTTCCTGAGCCCACGGACCGAGTACACAGTTGCTGTCCAGACGGCATCAAAGCAAGTTGACGGGGATTACACGGTTTCAGAATGGAGCGAGATTATAGAATTCTGTACAGCAGGTGAGGCATCTGCTTTCCAGATCCAGCCCGTGGCAAAGGAGCAGCTTGTGAGAAATGAACAGCTGTTGAAAGAAGCAGAATCCAGAGTGCCCACTTTGTGACCGGGAACTGAGAACGGAGTCTGTCAGGAGAAACAAAGGAGTGGGATGCGTAAGAAGAGTGTGTGGAGGGCAAGCAGGGGGAGGGTCAAGGATGAAGGGGTGCTGGATTAAAGGGGACTGGATACAGAAGTGAGTGACCGGGGTGAAAAAATTACATTGACAAATAGATAAAGAAGAGTGAAAGACAAAAGGAAGATCAAGGAAGTCATACTTGGACAAAGTCGATGAAATCCTGAAAGAGAGAGGGAGGGAGAGAGTTGAGAGATTTAGAGAACAAAAGGCGATGTATGAGTCAGTGCATGGGCACAGTGGAAGCAAGAGGAAAACACAAAGTATAATAAATAATGTTGCTGTTATAAATAATGTTCCTTTTTCTTTTCTCTCCACCTTTCTTTCTTTTCCTTACTGTTTCTCACTCTTTTTCTGCACTTTGCATCATGTTGCTTACCCTGAAGGAGAATAATGTGATGGTTAAATAGGGATGTATGTAGGCATGTTTGTCTGTTGCTAGCTTTTGGGTCCCTGTTGATAATAGCACCATCAGTCATCTGTTTTGGAGCAATGGTGCTTTGTCCTCACTAGCAAAATACTTTGTGTTCACAGATTATTCCAAGGTTCACTTAACACAACTTTTGGAAAAAGCAGAAGTGATTGCAGGGCGCATGCTTAAATTTTCAGTCTTTTATCGGAATCAGCACAAAGAATACTTTGACTACATCAGGTAAGAGACGGCAAAAAGATCCAACTTTTCAAAGATGCATCATTCCATGCAGAGCAGATAGAAACACGGCCTTCCCCACTGATAAGTAACAAGGAAGCACTCAGCACACCAGAACTAGCGGCAGCACATTTATTAATTAGCACCACTTATTTATAAGTGTTATCTATGGTAAGCTACTGTAAGTAGCAAGTTGTGTTCTTCTGTAGATTTAGTTCCATTATTCCTAAAATCTAATAAAGCAAAGCAGCCTTACTAGATACGACTTTAAAAATATGAAAGGCAAGTATTCATGACGTAGCAACTCTGATCTCCAGGAAAGAATCAACCACAATCTATAGTCTTAGAGTCACTTCATGGCCCATTTCCTGCCTTCCTCCTTCCCTGCACTCCGTCGGCCACTTTCTTCCTCTCTGCTTCCTATGCCCTCTGAATTCAGCATCCCCTTCATGTTCTCTTCCTTCTTCAGCTCTTGCCCGGAGCCTCATCCCTCTCCATGCCTCTCGCTTCTTCCTCTTTCTCACAGACTAGCCGGGAGACACGGCAGAGTTGTTCTAGCTATAGTGACCTGGCTGAATGGGTCTGTTCCCTCCCTGCTCCTCTTCTTCCTCTTCCTTCACTTCAGCCCCTTGGACTTAAAGATTTTTGTTCTCTCAAATAAGTATTAAAACCCTTGCTAACTCATCCAAGTAAGAGGTTCCTCCCTGTTGCTTCTCCATTGGCCCTTTTGATTTAAAATGTGTTGACCTAGCTTGAGCCCAGCAGTCACTGGAGCATTAAAACCATCATTCTGGTGGAAACAAACATCTAGAATGAAGTGAAGTGCAGGTGTTTTCTGGCCCGGTTGGGTTGTGGGTTTCATGTGCAAGTGGATGAGGAGTTATATGTCTTTCTGGGAGCCTGCTAGCAATCTTCTGAACAAGGGTTGTTCATGTGGATATTCCCCTGTCTTGCTGGTGCCAGCCTGGAAGACTGGGAGGGAGCTGAACGTCGCCTTTACTTCGCAAGGATAACTGAAAGTGAGGCAGTGAGCATCCCACTGCTAAAGGCAGCACAGCCACCTCATTAGAAGGTGCTCAGCTTCTCGGCATCCCCGCTCTTTACAACCACCCCTCGCCATCCAAGGCTTTACTCCAGTTTCTGGATAAATGCATAGCTAAGGTGCTTCCTACAACTAGGAATGCAGAACATAATTTATGGGTAGACTCCACCCTCCCTCAGAAGTACATCTTGTTGATTCCCCATCCAGCAATTGAGTCTAGATGCCAGGCCACCAACTCTGAAAAACGCTGGCATAGGATTAGCTCAACTGGCCACTGAGGGTCGCTGTGCTGCCATTCAAAAAGGGCTTTTGGCCCCTCCTTGTGGCCTAAAGTGGTTCATCTCAAGTTTTAATGATGTTCATCTCAAGTTTCACAGTTAGCACACTTACTCTGAGATGTAAAATCCACAATCTTGTTTCTGAAAAATTAAAAAAGGCACAAGTTTTGAGCAGATAAACCTCAACTAAAGTTTGCTTCACATCTACACATGGAAAGTGCAGAAGAAGGCTGGGATAGAACTAGAAATTGTCCTATGACATCAAATCCTCCCCCTTTGCCCTTATGGGACTGTTTAGCTTTGTTGACAAGCCTCTGACTGTTGACATGGCACAATCTGTAGCCATCTGTCCTATTCCAGTGACTCTTAGGAAGGGAGGTGACTGAAGTGGATTCAGTGTAGTATCGATGGTTGCAACTTTCAAATTATACTTTCTGTTCTAAAAAAAAGACGGGTGTCCCCTGGGCTGCTTTTTGTCTCTCACCCAGCATCACACCCTGCCTAAAATTAGAGGCCCTCTCCAACGAACACAGGCACCTCACTGACGTCCCGTGAGTCAGATATTGTCTCTGCTTGCATCTGCATTTACCCATTTCTCTCCATAAATGCAAAAGGTATGGGGGTGCTGGGGGCGACCTAAGGGCATCTGCATGCTCCTTCACAGTCAGGGCTCGCTAATGCCACCACAGAAGTAAAACGTTCCCCATCCTTTACTTCTAGGGAGCAGCATGGAAGCGTCCTCCAGCCTTCAGTTAAGGATAACAGTGGCAGTCACGGCTCTCCTATCAGTGGGAAGCTGGAGGGGATCTTCTTTAGCTGCAACACTGAATTCAACACCGGAAAGCCCCCCCAAGATTCGCCTTACGGAAGATACAGGTTTGAAGTTGCAGCCGAGAAACTTTTCAACCCAAACAGTAACTTGTACTTCGGGGACTTCTACTGCATGTACACGGCCTACCACTACGTCATTCTTGTGCTTGCCCCAGTCGGCTCGCTGGGGGACGAATTCTGTAAGCAGCGCCTCCCTCAGCTGAACTTGCAGGATAACAAATTTCTGACCTGCACTGAAGAAGACGGGGTCATGGTTTACCACCACGCACAAGATGTCATCTTGGAAGTGATTTACACTGACCCGGTAAATCTCTCCCTCGGCACAGTGGCGGAAATTACCGGCCATCAACTAATGAGCTTGTCCACTGCCAACGCTAAGAAAGATCCAAGCTGCAAGACGTGTAACATCAGTGTGGGACGTTAATTGCAACCTCTGCCCTTCCTTAGGAACCTCCTGTTGCCTATTCCCATTGTCAGCCATTCACAACAGACGCATGAATAAGGCCATTCTTCCCAGAAGCAAGCACCGGTGGTCCGATTCTTCGATCATTCTTCTACGAGCAGAGCTACATGTTCCAGCCAGTGTGGGGCAGCTCCCTGAGTCGCGCCCTGTGAGGTATCTTTTCCCCCTCCCGCCCTACAGCCTTTCAGGCAAGCATGCTGACCTGTGTGATTTTCGTCCCCTCCGCTTGTACGCTCTCCCTGCTCCAGCTGGATGCCGCTGGCGGGCGCACAGGACGGGATCGCACTGCCGCGCAGGTCAGCGCGGCCCCGTGTCATGGGGAAGAAAGGGGAAGAGCTCCGCACGGACACAGTATTATCTGCAGCCGCCCTGTGTAGCATGTAGTTCTGCCCTTGGTATTTCTTCCCACCTCCCTTCCCTTCTGCTTTCAACTGTTCAAAATCTTGGGTTTTTTTTTTTAATGTTTGGTTTTTTTCTAGCAACCATTTACATACCTAGGTGCTGCAATTGGTGTTAATTTGTCCCCCCTCTCTCCATACTGCCAAATGTAACAAATCTATATAAACAAGCTTGAGTGAAATAAAAGATTCCTGGCTTCTAAATGGTATTTAAATATGCATTCATTTTAACCTACTGAACAACTTAACTGGAATATTTCTAAACAGCATGAACAGGTGTAACTGCAGCATGACTAACTCTCACAGCCTAGAAAAAAAATGTCAGCACTTCCAATGTGTTGTTTGACAGTGTTATTTATGTTATTTATATGAGCTAACAAACAAACAGAAGACCTGTGTTCCATCATAATAGAAAAATATTTTATTTGTACTGTTGTATAAAATATTATACAATCATATAGAATATATAGATGGCATTTTAATAGCAACTGTACACATGTCATGAAACCATTTTCCCTTATCAAAGATGTAGTTTGTAAACTTCAAATACTTGTGTATCTGTTCCTGTTGCTCTTACATGAGTTTTAATTAAAACAGATTTATGAAGGAGACCATTCTGATTCAGTTATAAATGATGCAGCCAACGACACAGAAACATCAATTGTCATAGAAACAAACAAACATACAAACAAAAGAAATCTACTTAGTTTAGTAATGGGACATGGTCCTTTCCCAAACCGTTAAAAGGTTTCCCCCCCTTTTTTAGAAATCATGCTTCGACTTTACATATAGCGACATACAGACAAGGTTGGTGGGTAACAGAATTCGTCAAACGCCTTCCTTTATTACACAAAAGCAGAAAGAGCAGAAGGACCATCTTTGCCTTTTGCATGCAGCTCTGCGCCCTGGGGGGGGGGGTCTCTCCCTGGGCTTCTCTCACCATTTCTGGTGGTCTGAAATCGTCCCCTCCACCGCTGAACTTCCCGCTTGGCACCTGTCCTGGCGCACCTCTCTCTTTACCTGTGGGAAGCCTCCTTCATCCATGCACCAGAGCTGAAGAGCAAAGGCAACGCCTCTGTTTTTCGTGTCATTATTACCAAAAGATAAACCCAAAACGCTAAAGACAGTACGCATCTCCTCCTGGAGGTCTTCTTTAAATCTGGTTGCCATTAAACCTGTGTCTCGTGGTAAGTGTCCTGACTGTCAACCTCTGACTCAACCGTGCTCCATTTAGAAGTGACCTATTGTAAGCTGCAAGAATAACTTCTTTTCACTTATAAAGTATGATCCTTTTTAACATCAAGATGGCAGAAAACCAGCCATGTATATATTCTATCCTACAGTAAACCAAATAAAAAAACAGAAGCCCAACCATCCATCATTCATAACCATGACACTTAGATTAAATATCTGCATACATCATAATGCAATGAACTATTATCACTATAACAGTATCTTGGCGATCATCACACGTGAAATATTAAGATCCTACAAAGTGCATGCTTTCAAACAAGCTTTGGTAATCATAAAAAGCAACATTTTATAGCATTGTGCTACAGAAAAGTGCTACACAAATAAAGATTGGAATGCACCACCATTCATTTTGTTTCATTTTGGTACTATCAACCAAGTCCTGGAGCTCTCTCCTTAAGAGGATGGGGTAGCTTGTAATTCCTTACCTTGAAATGTATTAGCTATTCTTTCCTGTTTAAGGGTTTTTTTCCCCCTCATAAATGCCCAATTTTCCTCCTTAAAAACTGTGCCTTTTCAAAATAAATTGATTTTTACTACTTACTCTCTGCAGTAACCTTATGCTAAATAAGTCTGCTTAGCCCCACGACCTTTTCCTGATTAATCTGCATCCTTCTGAACTCGCCCCTTGTGTTTGGTGTGCATGGAAAGGTCAAAGCAGAAATGCCACAGGAATTAAAATGAGAGAAGTGTTTGGTCTTATCTCTGTTAATCGTATTAAATCTCCTTGGGCCAAGAGTGATCAGAAGGGAACGAGTAGCTACTGTCTTCATTTTCGGCACACTGGAGCCTCACAAAACCTTGCCATACCTCAGTGGAGTTCAAACTCCTTCTATGAAACCTTTCCTACTATCTCAATATCTGTTGTACATTCCTTACGATAACTTGAAAGTGATTACTTTGGTGAACGAATACCCCGTTTTTCACAGATATCAGATAGGAAGACCACTATGCAGACAGCATTTTTTTTAGCTCCTTGCATAAATACATTACTCTGGAAACAGATGGTGGGCCATAACATCTGACATGTTGGTCAAAACGTGTTCAATTTATTTATTTTTAATCCACCAGAATAAAATGGATATATTTTATTATTGTTAGCCACCCAGAGTCACTGGTCTAAGATGGGCAGCTACATAAATTGGACAAATAAATAAATAAATAAATAAATGAAATACATATGTTGTTATTTAAATATAGGATGGGTCATCATTCTTCAAATCCACACACTTCTGACCCATGGAACATTTATCTTTTATTCCTAAGATCAACATATACTAGGAATAGAACTGGTGTGTAACATTACAACCAGAATTGCACCAAATCACCTCTCATTTTAATACTTGCTTCAAAAATAGTATATAGCTAAACAAACGTCTCTATTGTTCTGCTAGCATCACTTCTCTTTTGCTCCTTGGCGCAGCTACTTCTTGATGCCTTTTTTGTTATCCAGGGACCTCATCGGCTCCGTGGCCACTTCATGCTATTGGCTGTGGCAGCCCATGTGTCTCTGTTTAGCTGATGAGCAAAGTAGCATCACAACATGAATCAGAAAACACACACAAATGGACACGCCCGACAGGGCTAAAGAGAAGCGTGGAGAGATAAGATCCAAAATCACAATGAAAGGTAATGTTGAGAGAAGAACCATGTCAAAGTATCTTTCTACTGAGTGTGGAAAGCCAACAACAGGCATCAAAATATTGCAGGATTCGAGTTTTGTAGCCTTTCAAAAGATCTGACTGATGAGGAGCATACAGCTTGTGAAGGTGAGTGACTCTTGCTGGTGCTTCTAGCTACATCACAATCGAAGTATCCAGAACCTGACAAGGCCCTTGTCATGATCTATCCCAAGAAGGAGACAGCTCCCACCAGTAAGGTAGTCAAAGTTGCTGTGTCTTAAAAACTGTTTCGCTGCTTTTCTAGAAACAATTTCTACATCAAAACATATTTACCCACCAAACCAATTCCAACCATCATTGGTGAGAGATTTTTTTCTGGAAAATGCAAGGTAAAATAACTTTAAAATAATGGGATATTCTAACTTCTGTTCTTATAGGCATTCTCATCTTGAGCACTCCTCCATATTGAGTGTCTCCTCAAAGAATTCTCAGCCTTGGCCATGTTAGGTGGGGAATTCTGGGAACTGAAGGTATCTGGGGTAGGGAGTACTCATTTAGTGGAAGACTCTGTATCTGACCTTATCATTCATGTCTTAGCATTGTTGTCTAATTGATTATAACTAGTTCTGGGTATCAAAACACAGGTCTAAAGTTCCAAAGATACTCTAAACAAGTATCTTCTTGACATCTTGGTCTACAACTGTCATAGTATTCAGGAATGATGGGAGTTTAATCCAACCCATCATCAAGACACAAGGATGGGGAAGGTTGTGACAGACTAGTATCACAAGCAAACTTTGCCATGTATGTATTCATAACTAAAATAGCTCCACTAACATGCTTGATAGAGCAATTAACTCCCTCCCCCCCTTACCCTTCCATATCTGGATGACCTTCTCCTAATGTAATATCAAAGGTTAGCCCTGAGCCATTCAAAAGCAGCCAATAACTCAACGATTCCCAATTATAAAGGGAGCAACATGCATGCCAACATGCGCAGTGCCAAAACAGAACATATTTCTACAGCTGGGGGTGCAGGATGAACCTCCCCAACTTGCAGGAATTGTTTTAAAACTCCAACCAGCCCTTCTCCAAACCCTCCTGTTGACCTCCTGCCTCTGCGGAACCCTGGCACTTGGAACAGGATGTGGTGTACAGAGTCACAAAGATGACCTTGGAGAGGCTAGACAGAGATGATGGTTGAAAAAACACGCGTAAAGCCTGGGAAACAGACCAAGCTTCAGAAAGAGACTCAGACTGGCTCTTCCCTATTTCACTAGAGTATAAGAGGGAGGGGAAAACTCAGCCAGGTATTCAAAATTCTGTCACTTGAGCCTCTCTCAATAAAGGAGGGTTCAGTCAAACGTGGAATCTGTTTCCTGACCTGGACTACCTCAAAGGACCAACCCATGGGCACACGTCCCTTGGCTGGCAACTGGCAGCAACAAAGCTGAAGAGGAAACAATGGGTCACTCTCTTGCTTCACTTCCACCTCTGGCCTCACCAAGAGCAGAAACTGAGCTCTCCACACTGAATTCCCTCCCCACTACGAAGCCTTGGGGCTTCCGGAATCGCCTTTCAGTCATTCCTTTCCCGTGGCCAATTTTCAGTGCAAGAGGAAGAGAAAATGAAACAAGGGTGAGCAAGAACTTGGGTGTGGGAGGACAGGGAGAGGATAATGTGGGAAGAGAAGAGGGAAAGCCCACACTCCATACCCCCCAGGCAGGATCTTCTAAACCACAGGTGAGGAAACTGCAGTATAGACCTTCAGATGGCATTAGACCATCTCTGGCCATTTGCAGAGTGGATGGGGCTGATGGAATTTGGTATCCAGAAACTTCCCACATGCAGCTTAAGCCCAAAGAAGAATGGCTCCTTCCTAGTTTTACGGAACCGATGGGGTGGGAGGGTTTCCCCAAGTCTTGGCTCTGGGATGGAAGAGAATTAGTCAGCACACCTACATGCACACTTAAGCTCACACACATACGCAAATATATTTTTAGATCCCCCAAGTCATCATGGAGGCTAGATAAGCCACACTTCTAATACGTTTGCTTCAGCAGAGTGGTTTCTACTGTAAGCCTGAGCCAATTCTATAGAGCCAGAAAGCAGCATTGGAGTGACCGAGAGAGAAACTGGTCCACTTTTCACTACATTTTCCCCATAAGTCCATGGTTTCATACGCTTAGTAGCCATGATAGTGCAATTTACAGAGAACTACCATGTTGAACTTTCCAGCACTCAGCCAAAACTAGTTGTACAGTTTTGTGCAAATTCAGGAACCTGGGCTAAAGGGCTACCACTAATCTTGTCAACTGCCTGCAGAGGTAATATTTCAGAAGATAATCTGTTCTTTCAATAAGAAGTAGTACAGAAGCCCATCCAGCTGTTTTCCAAACGATGCCCTCCCTGCCTGACATGAACAATTCCTGTTCTGGGTGCTTCTCCACCACTTCACTGCCTGCACTGTACAGTCTACACGTCTTTGTAGCATCCAAAACCTTCCCCACAATCCACGAGTGGCAGAGCAGAACAACCTTACAAGACCACACAGTTTCACTTTGGGAAGGAGGCATCTCTTGAACTCTGATTGACCCAAGAGTCTAACTAACTCCTGTGCCTCTGCAGGCCAGGAAAATCTGTGCAGATGAGTTTCCAAATGCTGGGATTCTCAGTACAACCACTCAAAAGGCATTATGTCCTCATCCATCCATCCCTCTTTAATGGTAAGAAAAGTCAGAAGAAGTGGTAAAACACAGAACACAGATATCCAGGTGCCCATAACAGAGAGGGGAATTGCAATATAAACACTTCAGCTGGATAAACACAAAACCGATCCAGCTTCTGCAACAGCCTCACCCCAAAAGTCTCTCTACAGCAAGCTGAACCCTGCAAATAACTGCATTTCCAAAATTTCTTCCAATGTGCAGAGAAGAACAGTTCACTCACCCTGTTAAAAATTATTGCATAATTAGTCCTGGGGACTGAGAAATAGTCTCATAGCCCAAATGCTCACAACTGGCCCTTGAACATTTTTGTAAGAATTATTGTGAAAATTTCAGTAAGCATTGCTCATATCTTTGCATCAAGAGCACCAAGTGCGGCCTTCTTATTTTCACCAAAGAGGAAAAGGGAGATGGAGAAAAGGTTAAGATTCTCCACAGCTGAATTCTGTACTTTAGCACCATGTATTCTGGTTGGCAATTGCTGCCATGGGCATCCCCAGTGGGACAAGACGGGAAGTGGCATCACCACGCAAACAGTGCAGATTGTTTAACCGGCATCAGGTGACTGACCCAAATTACACAATTCATGACATCATGATGAGTAGGACAGCATTACAGCTTCTACCAGATGTCAGAGCTTGCTGTTGTTACTTGCATGGAATTACAACATACGTGCCCACAGCCTTGGTGAGAGGCAGGCAGTGGGTGATACCAAGATTCCTGAACTGGCCCTCCCACAAGATTCACTGAATCTTGGAAAGTTTCAATGATCCCATACAAAATCCCATGAGATTTCAAAGCCAGAATGGCAAAAATCTCACAAGAGGTTTGTCATTTCATGGTTCTCGTGTGAAATCTCACGAGACCTCGGGGTGAGATTGCTGGACTGTCACAGGACTGGGAGAGATTGGAGGGGAGGTGCCCAGGCCGTTGTGCAAGACTGTGAAATGAATTCTGAGGCTTTAAAAGGTTAATTGAACTGGGATTTCATTATCATGAAATTCTGCCCTTCAAAAATTGATATTTTGGGCATACCCACAAAGCTCAGCTGTATAGACACAGGCTTCCCTTTGGAAAGCACAGATCAAAGAAATAGCTCATCTTGTTTGCTCCTTTGCCCTGCCAATGTTTTGAGCTTAGTCGTCCAAACTATGGTATCCAGATACTTTGGACATCAAGCATCCAAAATATGTCCCAGCAGAGCTTCGAGAGGCCCAGGGGGCTTCCCAAGACACCTCCTGAAATTGCATAGGGCTGCTGCTTCCCTTTGGCTCAGCAACAAAGCTGAAAGGTGAAGGTCCAGGTAAAAACAGACTCTGGAAGTAGGAGACAACTCACAGGGAAGGTCCTGCCATCCATTCAGTCCCTCCTTCCTTGTGCGGCCTCACACCTGCTCAAAGACCTTTCTCCTGTGCTCCCCTGCAGCATTATCACCTTAAGGAAGGGCAACAGAAAACCACTGCGTAGAAAGATCCAGGTGTTCTCTTCCCTGGCATCAGGAAGTTTTACTGTTGCAACCCACCGGCTTCAGATGGTTTTGGAGACATCATGCTTGCTGATGAGGACCTCCAGGAGGCGAAGTTTGGCCTTGATGTGCTTGTACTCCAAATACTCTTCTGACATGGGGATCCGATCTTCCTTCTGGGGACTCCTGCAAAACAGCAAAATGAACATTCAGACTTCAGGGACAAAGCAGCAAGGATTCACCACGTCCTTCTGACCAGGACACTAAGTTTTCATTACTTTCAGTGATGGCTCATTTCTTTGGTCAGAGAAGTTTGGAGATGGCAGATGTGTAGGCAAAATCCAAAACAGACTGAGGTAAATATCTGCAATCCCTCCAGGCACAGGAGGTTTAGGGACTTATTTGCAAAAGTTACTCTCAAGAGATTAAAAGGCTACAACCTGATGGTATACAATCCCACTTTCTCTTTTATCATGCTATTTTCATCATCTGAGACCTTCTTTCTTTTAGTGATGGCATGTATATGTTGCTAACAAAGACTGCAAATCCTCAAGAGGGCTGGGTTGAGCATTTGCTGACCCACAAGGAGACGATTCCTGACCAACCCTCTACTCCCTGCTGTCCCCAAGGAGGAAAAGGTATCATCTTGAGAAAGTGGGAAGATGGAACAAATAATGGGAGCCATTGTTGTGCCAATAATATCCTCAAAAATCACTACAGACTGGAATAGATTCATGGAGATTTTTCCCCCACCAGAGATGATGGTGGGAAAACCAGTTCTCACTGATGTACACATAAGAACTGATGCTACACATGTACACCAAGTGAAACTGATTTCTTTCATGGTAAGTAAACAGAGTCACCCATAGTTTGCAAAAGAGCTACCTATTCTAGGCATAAATGTGAGGCACCTACTTAATACGATTCTTCCTAGGCATTATATTTAGCAAGGGGTTCTTTCTTATTGGTGCCCCCAATTTCAGAAGCCCATTCGTCAAGCACACAAAAGGAGGTCTTCTCCTGAACTGCTCCCATGCTATGGAACCTGCTCTCTTGGATGTTGTGCATTGCTGCAAAGCTAGGGAGACTTTGTCTTCTGTTAGATCTTTGAGTTGATAGTTGAGGATGTTACATTATTTATGGATTTCAACTGTTTCCTATTATTTTTTTCTACCTGAGGGCCCTAGTGGCACTAAAGGTAGGGCAGAAATTGAAACGAGCCAGTATTACAAAGGCTATTTTCATCTAGCTTCTTTTCAGAAGATTACTGAAGTTGCCCTCATTTGTAAGTGGCATGCAAAAACATCCTGCAGAATGATTTGGACAATCTCCAAAGTGTGTGTTGTGACTTCAGTGCCCTCCTAACAGTTGCTCACACCCTCTGAGGATAAACCCTTTTTCATTTCCAGGAGCACCAAATACCTACGCTGAAAGAACCTCTCTGTAAGAATCATCACTCCTTTCTATTCAACGCATATGCTAAATGGGTACCTGCTGATCTTATGCAGTTCAGGAATCAAAATTTTTGGAATCTAAAGGTGCAGTCTACCTCCAGTTTCAACAAAGAAAAAAAGGATGTTTTCCTCTGTTACCATAAGGCTGGAAAATACTAACAAGTCTTGGCCTTTGCAATGACGCTTCAGACCCAGAAAAAAATTCCTCTGGTGAACCATTATCTTGGGAAGGTTTACAATGGCTTAGATCAGGGTCTGCCCACCCATAGTGTTGAGATTCAACATGCATACAACTCCCTTACCTTCCTGTTTGTCTAAAGAACTCTTCCTCAAATTCCCGCAATACTTTCCTTATCCTTTTCTTGTCAGCTCTAGTTTCTCGGAGATGTTCTAGAAGCACAGGCCTACAAAAGAAGAACTGGAATTTCAAGATCTGAATGATTTGAAAACTCATACGGTGAAAGATGGTTGAGCAAATCAGGGCTCAAGAGATGCATGCAACATGAAAGGTTTCCCCCTGTAGATTCTTCTGGAGCAGGATGCGCCCAACTGTGCATGAGAAAATTTTGCTTATCCAGTTCCCAGTAAGTTCAAAACTATGTTGTAAAATATGTACAACAGTTGGTACAGCCAACTTGTCCAAAAGCAGTAAGAGAAGATGCATTTACGCCAATTCTACAGATTTGCACTGTGCCCTGTGATCACTTTGAACATATACCCTGGAAATAATCCCAAAAGCAGTTGGTCGCACTTTTCCCTACCCTTTGACACCTTTCCTAAAATATTCCCTGACACCAACAGGTGCATCATAATTTCATCAAGGGAAAGTCAGCACTCACATAGTGGCCTCGTGTAAATTGGACATTGAGAGGGCAGGCTGTCTGATCGCTTTCTTTTCATCCAGAGGTGAAACAAAGGCAGGCTCATTCTCCTCATCCGAGTGGCCCGTCTGTGCCTCAGGGGGCCAATGGAGAGACCCAGTGGAGCTGCTCTGTGGAGGTTCTTCATCAGAATCTTCCTCCTCCTGCTTGGAACAGGGAACAACAGTTATCAGAGTCTCTCCCTGCCCGCACATCTTTCACAATGAAGAAGACTAACACATTAATTCCAGAGGGCAGAAATTACATGAATAAACAGATTGGCTTGGTTGGTTGGTTGTATTTAAGTGTTAGAAAAGTCGGTTGGCCAAGGCTTTCCTCAGAATAGAAGCTGCAGACACTTATTCAAGGATCTGGTGCTGATTATCAGAAGTGAGGTGTAAACAAGCCACACTTTAGAACATTGTCTAACACCTTCCGAGATGTATTTTTGTTTTCTTTGGAACTCCTCAGTAAAGACCAACTATCCTTAATGGAATTCCTTCTGAAGAAAGAATAACTGAATGCTGTTCTCTCTCCAGGCAAGTAACTGCAATTATGTCTAAACCCCAGTGGTCACCAACAGCATGCCCACCTTCCATGACTGTAAGAATTTGACAGAGAGTACTTGGATAGTATGAACCAGTAACCCTAATCCAACTGTACTTGAAAGTATGTCCAAGTAAGTCCAGTGGGATTTACTTCCTGAAGAATAAATGTTGTGATGACAGCCTTATACATAAAACAAGAGGTAATGCACAACTTGAAGAGAGCCTGCAAGAAACATAGCCTGGTGCAGTGCATTTCTTCACACAATCCTCTTGAGACTTACAATAGTTGTAATCAAAGATGGTGTCGACAGAAGCTGCTTTATAATTCTGTATCTTTCGTAAAGAGGCTTCATCAGAGTCCTGTCTTGCTGGCTAACCTAGAAAGAAAAAGTAAGCAGCACCACGTTGACTCTGGAGAAACATCTGAAATTTCTTCTTAAAAGACACAATCCATCAATAGAAGTCTCTATGTGGGCTTTTAAATTCCATTAGGAATTGAACACGAGGAACATGAGGCACAAAACCCAATGATAATTCCATGCTGATGGAATATCATTTGTCCTAATTTCAATGTGGTTTTACACTTCTGTAAGAGAAACAATAACCAGAACAGACTCTATATTTCCATTGCACACTGCGTTTCTTTTCTCCAAGAATTTAAACGTTACGAAGTGTATTTGTGACTTGGAGTATCTTGTTTCAGAGAAGCACCGCTTCCATTAGAACTTGGATTGGTGCTCCACCACTCCTTAGCAGCCAGCCGGTGCACTGTAATTCACATTCCCTGCCTGCTCCTTGCCTCTGGCAACTGCAAAACTTCTTATAACCAAATGTCAGTCAGACGTTAGGACTGGCAGCCCGTGGCCATTCCAGGCATAATCCCTGCTGTCTCCCATCACCCTCTGCAATCTTAGGGCATGATCTGCTGCCACCTCAACATCTCAGGAGAGAATCAAGCAAGTGCTAAAGCTATACGGCTGGAACTTCCAGGTGAGATGAATGATATATTTATGCCAACTTGATTTAGTTCATGTCATATCCTCAAACTGTTGGAAGAGGTTTCATAAAAGTCCTACTCTCACAGAGCTTTTATCGTCAGAAGACCGGCTGTGCTATTCTAGACAGAAAAATGGGCTTGGTACTGAGGAGAGTGGGACAGACTCTCTTGTGAACTGTTCACAAGAGACATTTAATATTCCTAGACAAAGGTGCCAGTCGTAGGCTCATCTGCACATTTTGCACATTTCTGAATGTTCTGCTCAGTTCTTAACTCAAAGATGCATCACACATTTTAAAACATATTTTGGGGGAAAGTATGCAAACACTGAGAGAAGATTCAATAAGAATATACAGTATCTAAATATCCAGATGCATTTTTGTATATGAAAACATCTGCGGATTAATGTGGAAATGGACTTGTCAATAAACATACACCAAAGGGACACGGAACCAAACCAGACTGGCATGTCCTTCTTGGCTGTCAGTCCTCAACTATAATCCATCTTCAGTTGGAGAACGTACAATACATGCATTGAGGGTTGCCACGCTAAGAGACACAAAGCCCAAATATAGACAAGGAAACACGCTCCACTAGGCGACCCATAAAAGGTCGAAATTACATTGCTGAAGAATGTAGTCAATGAGCAAAGATCCAGTAGACAAGAAATAGATAAGAGGAAGAGCTAAGCTGGTTTAATAA